AAGGGCTCTTCACCACAACCCTGGCCTGGTGGTTTCATATGGAGTGCACCCAGATGCCGCCCCCCCTTTTGTGAATGAGCAAGGGGTAGTTGTTACCCATACGCATTCACCAAATACAGTAAAATTGTAAATAAACACCACACCGTGAAAAAAAAGTCCTTTATGAAAAAAAACAAAACACAGTTTTCATATTTGTCTCAAGTCTTTTATTAAAAGAAGAAAAACCCCCCAAAAAGTCCATCAATGTAACCCAAATCATGTCGTAATGATGTAGATCCACATCAATCACGACTTGCCGAAAGAAAAAATACCCGACATCCGCCGACACGACCGAATCCGATGAACTCTCACTGTAAAATGACAGCTCTGACCTAAATGTCAACAAAGGGGCAGAGTGAGTTGTGACGTCACAGAACTTGTTCTGTCCCTTTGTTGACATTCAGGGAGCAGAACTGTCATAATAACAACAAAGCACGCTCATTCCCCCCCTTTCCGGCTCCGCCAAGCTGCTGCTCGGATCAAGGATCAGGCAAGGGATTTTAGGGGGAACCCCATGCTTTTTTTTGTGTTTTTGGCATTGAGGTCCTCCCTAAAACTCCTACCAGACCTAAAGGATCTGGCATGAACTGGGGGGGAGCTGCACGCTGTTTGTTTTTTTCTTATTGTGTCTCTGGACTGTCAAAAGTTAATCCGAATCTTGAAATGAATTGACTTTCGGACCTGAATCCCGAAAAACAAAATAACGAAAAATAGAAAACGAAACACATTTTTTGCCGGTACACATGTCTAGTTAGAAGAGTTTCTAACCTGTCTCCACTCTGTGATAAAAATATTTTGGTTGGTATCTTTGTACAGAATGTTGAGATTTCCCATTATATTTGGGGATGCTACCAGGACATGAAGAGGATCGAAATTGACCCAATAGGGACACAGACAACACCAAATACCGACAGAAAAAATGTCTGAAGTTGGGCTTTTTTCCAGTCTGATTGTGGATTAAAATTACTGCAGCTGCACCGGGGCCCGAGCCTGGGGGGGGCAGTAACCGATCTAACACAGCCCCGGCGCAGAGATGGAGGGCCCACCAGATACATCGGATCGGTATCCAGCAGCCGACGGGCCCCCCCATCTCTGCGACAGATCGGTATGCGGCGGGCCACCCCCCATCTCTGCACTGGGAGTATCGGATGATCTGACAGTCCCGCCGCAGAGATGGGGGGCCCGCCGGCCGCCACACAATGATCGGTCATCTGACACTCGCGGCGCAGAGATGGGGGAGCCGGGGGCATCCGAAAATTCTTTTTTTTTGCACCAGGGCCCTTTGTTCCTTAGGTCCGCCACTGTATACTTTACATGTATTTTGAATGATCCAACATTTGTATTGTTTTTACAATAACTTAGCAAACTATTTCTTATGTTCCTCAGCGAGCCATGCTGGTTCTGTCCTGGCCTTTTCCGAATATCCACAAAAACCTTTGGATGCTTTATCAAAGTCACATCTTTCTTCAGTGTCACCTCCTGCAAGAGATCATAATACAAATAATTGCTCAAAACCTGCAAGTAAAAGAAAGACAACCAAACAGCTGAACACTGTATATAAAAGCACTCCATATGAAGTGACTGCTGAGCAAAATAAAGAATATTCACTCTGTAAGGAACAAGCAACAAGCAAAGCTGTCAGCAATGAAATTAAGCTTAGCTTGAATATGAGTAATGCTCCTGACAGTTTGGTAGGCATTGGGGAAAATGAGCAAACAAGCAACTATAAAACAGTTGAGAATATTCACACAGGTAAGGTTTGCTGTGAACAGGAAATACAAATTTTAGACTCTTCTGAAGCAGAATGTGTACATAAAGAGGCAATAGGTCATCCAGATCCACAATATGTATGTCCTGCAGGCTACCTTCATCAACGGAAAAAAGATAAAGGCTCACATTTTCTGGACAATTTACTTAAATCTTCTTTTAAAGAATGTTTTGATTCAAGTGAAGAGGAAAATGTACTCCCAAAAGGGTCAGAAATAGTCTACATAGTACATAAAAATGAAGATGAACATAGCCAGAAAGAGGAAGAAAAAGGAAGCATTGGTAGTAGAAGTTCTGCAAAACAGAAAAGACTAGAGAGAGAAGAACAAGGAATGTTTAGAGAAATGGTTCACCATAGTCAGAGTTTATGTGCAGGTAATATTTTTGTTACAAATGAAGATAAAATGAAAGCAAATATGTACATGTCAGAACAAGATAGTGAATCCAGTGATAAAAGTGAAAGTCAAATGCAGGAAATAAAGTGTGATGATGGATACATAGAGACGCCGAAGGGAGATAATAGACATGATAGCCCATGTCTTTCAGAAAACAAAAATACATGGGACATACACAGTGTCATGGGGGAGAGTGAAATATTCAGACAAATGTTAACAGAAGAAATTGAAAAAAGTAGCATTGAGGAAGACAAAGAAAGTGAAGGAAAGTCTGAAGCAGAAAGTTCTGTTCATGAAAAGGTTTGCATATTTACAGTGAAGGAGAAGGACACACACAGAATAGACAATGTAAATGAAAAAAGTAAAACTGAGGACAGTGGAGAGGACAGAACTTCTGGAGAAGATGAAATAAGTGTGAATGACAGTCAAGGAAGCTCTAGAGCTGTCATGGATGCAGTAATGCATGGAATTACCATAGAGGAGCAAAGCAACACTGAGGTTGATAAAGAAAAGTTTACTAAACAAATGGAGCATCAAACAGAATATAATACAGGAAACAATATTATCAGTGAAGAAGAGATGTCTGTTAAAGCAGAAATTTCTGATGAAGAGAGGTTATCCTCTGAAGATCTGGATGTAAGTGATGAAATAGATAGCTCAGAGGTAGAAGAAAACACTGACTTCTGGGGCAGTAGGCACAAAGAAAACAACTCAGGCGCAGAAGATATAGAAAAAGATGTGGAATTACAGAGCTCAAGTACAGAGGATTCCACTAAAGGAGTGATTGCAGACATTTGTGCAAGGTATATTAACCATATAGTGATTTAACTAGTTGTGTAGTATTTAAAAGCATTGTATTAAATGGCTTCTCATTATTGTTCATCTCCACAAATGGAAATATTCTAAACTAGTTGATTTGGGAAAACGTCTTTCTCAGTGGTGGTCATGCAGAATTATATTTAAACTAATCAGCTGAATCCTCAAATTGAGTAACTTTCACTGTCCAGGGAACTCAGGGTTGGTTTTCCTTCTGTCTAGTGTGTTTAGATGCTCAAAATGTAGGCTTTTCCTTAACTTGCATTTTCAGTGCTGATAGTCACCAGGATGAACAGAGAGAGTGAATCTTGCTAACAGGGCACACAGACAGAGATAACAATCTGCAGGTATTCTAATCCCTCTCCACTCTATATTTATCAGTACATTAGTTGCTGGCACCAGGAGCCTGATACCGGTAGTACTCAGCATGGGGCAAATCAAAATAAAACAAAATTGTTTTCTCACGAGTCCCTTGTCAGCAACACCATATTCTGGTGTTATATTTTGCATAGATTTTTTAAAACTTTTATATTACTTCTTGGCTTAAATACAGCATCAGCAGCACCCCTAAATGATTCATTACACCTTTTCACTGCAACCTCTAGTGGAAAGTTCCTGGCCCTTTTCCTCCTCCTCAAGAATGTTTAGGAGACATTTATTTTGGGCCTGCTAATGAGCCCTTTACCTCCTCTTCCTCAAGAGCGCATAGCAGCCATTTGCCTTTCCCCCTTTAATCCTGCCAAATCGCCTTAATTGTGGTCTGTGCTACAGTGTCAGGTACCCAGCTGCCATTTGTCCAAAAGGCCATATGCTGGCCGCCATTACTTTGCACAGAAAGCCATATCTGCTCTGTACCAGCAGGAGGAATGCCATGGGGTAGCAGGAGGCTGAGGAGGAATATGATTAGAAGGGCAGGTGTGCTGGTGTTAAAGAGAAGAAGGAGTGGGGTTGGGGTGCTGAAAGTAAGAGGAGTGTTGGCTGTGCTGGAAGTAGAAATTTGGGGTGACTTTTAGGGAGGCATTTCAGCCTTCCCCCATACAAGGGAAAAATCATGTGAGGATCTACTGCCAGGATCCAATATGGAGCAGAAAGTGTCTCCTTCTGAAGCTGAGTGGAAAGCAATTCTTTGCTGCCTTTCCCGATGGTGGCTGAATCCTCTGCACTGAAAGCATATCTGAAGGGAGAAAACCTCATGAGAAATGGCTGGTCACCTTAAAAGGTTGCTTTGGTTTTACACTTGTTGCTGAAACTGGCAAAGTTGCCATTTGCGTGTGGAACATCACGGCACAACTGTGATGTGGTACAATGCAGCCACTCTTTTAGTACATTTCGGGGGGAAAAAGTGTTTCTTCCTTTTTCTTTTTCCAATTATAATGGCCAAGCGGGAAGCTACTCAACGGGTTCCGCTGTCCTCTCGTCATAGACAAGAGGACGAGCGAATTTTTCAAGCCCTGTCCATTGCTCTCGGTAATGTAACTAAGATGGCCAGATATGCCCCCTCCCATGATCCTCAATATAAGTCTGTGTGATGATGCTGAGGGTTGTGGCTGTTACTAAGCTCTGATACACAAGGCGCTGCATTGCTGGAAGATCATTTTTACTGCAATAAATAGGTGCTTTAAAGAACTACAGGGGAAAAAAATGTATTAACCCTTGCACAGCGCACGCTGGTTACGATTTAAACCGGCGCGCTGTCACTTGTCCAGCACTGGCGTGGCGTGACGAGAGGACAAGATTTTTTTCAAGCCCTGTAAATTATAGTAAAAAAGTATGTGGGGACAGTGCTCAATGCTCAATGGGGACAGTATGGAGTCCATACTATCCCCATTGAGCATCCCTCCACATACTTTTTTACTATAATTTACAGGGCTTGAAAAATAACTTGTCCTCTCGTCACTCCTGTGCCGGACAAGTGACAGCGCGCACCAGTTTAAATAGTAATCAGGGCGCGCTGTGCAAGGTTTAATACATTTTTTAGTGTGGAGTACTATGGAGGCAGGAGGGTACACAGGCGTCACACACAGTCACAGATACTACTGTCAGTATATCACTCCCCTTCTTCTACATCACTTCTGTACTGTATCATACAGTAATGGAGAAGGATTGTGATATACTGACAGTGTTACACACAGCACAGTACCTGCAGGATCTCTGTCGGGACCCCCTTCAGCCTCCTCACGGCCACACCTCTGTTGCCGCGCTGCGCCAGGCTGACTGCTGGGTAATGCAGTCCTCTGGCCGGCGGCAGCTCTCCTGACAACTTGGTCACTACCTTAAAAAAAAAAGTCCAGGTTTAACCACTACCTTTTCCCTATCCAATGGACTTATAGAGGTGATGATGGCAAAAAGGAGTTATCTTGGCATTATCTGCATATGGTTATCTGATGTAAAAATGCTTCTCAATTTGGCCTCATCTCAAGCCCAGCATTCCTGGGCTTTTCTGACAATGTGGAGGGAGGGCATAGCATTTGAAAAGGTGGACACTGATGTTTCAAATGTGTTGGAAGTCTTACTTACTTAAGGATCACAATGAAAGAAAACAGAATATAAACATTTACACACATATTGGAGTTGTAAATGAAGAGATTTCTTCCTATTGAAGCCATCAAAGAGAAAGTATATATTCAGTATTAAACTGAATTTTTTTTAACAGAAATTATCCAGAAATAATGTTCATTCGATCAACAGTATGTAAGCAGCTTTATTAGGTCACAGTTTTAACCCACTACTAGCTGCACATGTAGAATCTCTGCTTCTCCCTTTAGGCCTGCCTGACATGAATACAGAGGTTTGCTTAAGTTTATTACTGGCTATGACAATAGGGGGACTGAGGATCTGATGCTTTACTTAACAATGTTGTGATTTGGTGCACTAAACTATACTGCTCAAGTATGGGCTAATGTGCTGCAAACAAGGTGCAGCTTTGCCTGTGTCAGGAGCAAGTCCATATTGCGAAATGTTTAAAAATGGTGTGGTGCTTCAATTCCTAATTCACTTATAAAAAAATAAGGCCTAGTAAAATGATATTAAATTATTATTATTATTATTAAAATAGAATATATCTCCCTTAAAAAATATAAATCACTAAACCCCAACACTAAACCCCCGGGCTTTTTTGTGTGTGTTTTTTTAGCCCCTTGCCATGCAGCCTCTGCTGCCACCAGCTATGCCAGGCTCTGCTGTCCTTCATGCAGGCCCGGGACCGGAAGTGATGTGTATTGCATCACTTCCAGTATCAATGTATTATTTCCCCGGCTGCTGAAGCTGGAGATAAAGCTGGTGAAGCCTTAGGGGTCTAATAGACCCCTGATGTCTCCATAAAGAGGACCTGTCACTGTATCCGTGCTGTCACATGGGGGGCTTGTTAGCAATAAAGTGTAAAAAAAATAAAAATAAAAGTCCCATATAAATAAACACAATTTTTTTATAAGTTCCCCGCCCCCAAAATATACACTAATCAAAAGTAAACAGAGATCCGGTGCGCTTATGTGCAAAAACAACAATTGCGTCACACATGTCACGTATCGTCACATATGTTTGAGTGCAAGCAACCCTGGTGAGACCTGCACACAACTCTGGTGAGACCTGTATGCAGCCCTGGTTAGATCTGCATGCAGCCCTGGTAAAACCCAAACCCAGCCCTGATAAGACCACACACAGTCATGTATAATTTCTGTATAATCAAGGATTGATGGGATCGGTAGTCCTCTATTGCTGGTTGCCTTTCTCCATTGCTGAATAATCATGGTTTGAGTTACAGTTCTTCATAATTCTAAAGAAACTGCCCTAAAATCATTTGTTTGTATTGCTTTAGAAAGAATTTCGCATGTCCCTTTAAGAAAAAGTATCGGTAATTGGTATCGGCAACTACCTGAGGGAAAATATTTGTACTTGTACTTGGTCTTGAAAAAATGGTATCAGGAGCGGTGTGCCTCAAGGATCTATGCTGGAACCGATACTGTTCAACCTATTCATTAATGACATCGGGGAGGGAATAAATAGCCATGTTTCCGTGTTTGCAGACGATACAAAAATAGGGAGGGTACTAGAAACGGATCGTGACAATATAATATTGCAGGGGGACCTTGATAAAATAGGGGAGTGGGCAATACTATGGTAGATGAGGTTTAATGTCGATAAATGCAAAGTAATGCACTTTGGACATAAAAATAAACAAATAGGCTATACAATCATGGGTATGCCGCTAGTGAAGTCAGAAATAGAAAAATATTTGGGGGTCATTGTAGACCACAAACTGAATGGTAGCTTGCAGTGCCAAGCTGCGGTAAACAAAGCTAGCAGGGTCTTGTCCTGTA